GTTCTCAGCTGTTACGGATTTCTGGCCTTCTGTAACTCCTTCCTGAGATTACATTTATTTTGAATAATGCCTGCTGCAGCGTGTTTAACAAAGACCGCTTCACTACTAAAGCTTTGTCCAACAGCACAAAGAAAGTAGACTCAATGTTAATGATGCATCGTATCAATATCCCTAAATCTGACGTTTTGAGAAAAGTTGTGTAGAGCTTCGCCTCTCATGAGAGATGTAATGGCCTCTGAGAGAAAGAGGCCTGCAGAATGGCAGAGACAGCTCAGTCAATTAACAGAAGATAATCTAGGACAGAAGGACAACTCATGTCAACAGCTCATCACAGAGTCAATAAGATCAGGCCGCTTTAAAACCACTCAGGGCTCTTCTCTTTCAGCCATTAAACAGGTTTGGTCACTGTTTCCAAATGAACCCATAGAACCCACAGCCTTTCTTTGGGCTGTTTCTAGTCTTTCCTCTGCATCTTTTCTGTCTAATTTGTATCATAATCTCACAAGGAAACACAAGTTTTCTTGTGAGATACAAGGAAAAAAAAGGATTTCCTTGCTTTGCCTACCAATGAACTCGGATGAATTGTCCCTTTAACTATCCGTTCAGGACTTTCCAGGAAATGAGTTGTCATCTTTAAATAAATGTTGACCAGAATAAGCCCTTTGAGCTGTTCTTGGATGTGCTGACGGTTGACCATGCCATGGAAAGGTCGCTGTTTGTCTATCTTCATGGAAGCCTTTAATTTGACATCTCTAGAAATGAAATCTGTCCAGGCCAGTAGGGCATAACGAGCTGCGGAGCAGTTCACAGACCTCTGGAACAAAATGTTTATGTGAGATAAACCTTGGAAACGGTTTATCAAATGTAGGATACTGTAATCCCTTAAACAAATATTACAGGTTGTGAGAAACTCCTTCTTTTGTGTGTCTCACAGGTGTAAGAACTGTTCTTTTTTTTTTATCAAACTTTATATGCAACTTAAAACTGACACAAGCTACTTCTTGGATGTGCAATTAAATCAAAGCAATGACTGTATTTTGATTGAATCTAAAAAATTGTGACTTGCATTTATAATTACTCTACTCTGATACCCCTAAATAAAATGATTAGAAACCACCTGGCCGCAGAAGTCACCTCATTAGTAATTTCAGTGTAAATGAAGGTGTTATGTGAAGATCTAACAGCATCATGAGAAGACAGGTCAGGGATTAATTTATAGAGGCATCTAAAGCAGGGTTAGGATTTCAAATACCACCTTAACATTTGGATTTAGCTCTTGTTATTCTGTATTCAATACTGAAATAAAAGAATGGCACAGCTGCAAACCGACCAAGATATTGCTGTTCCCTTCAGTAGGCTATTTAAGTAGCAGCGTAGTGACCCTTGGTTACTCAGGAGTAACTGGAGGAAGAGTCTGTTGACTATCAGCCATTGGCTCCACAAATCAGGGCTTTATAGAAGACTGGCATGAAGAAAGCTGTTGCTGAGGAAGAAGCAGTTGGTTAAAGGCCATGTGGTGGAGACGGTAAACATGGCTTACATGCCAAGGATAGGCGTGGTAAAAGAAACTGTCGAAGCACATTGCACTGAGCAGACTTTCCTGTGACATAGCCAGAAAATGTTCTTAGGTATGGCCAGGCAGGGCACAAAGCACAAAGATCGCAAACATATAGGCGCCTGGACCAGTTTACGGTCAATCTACAGTAATCACACTATACCAACAGAAAAAAAAAATGAAAGAGTAAAATAATCATATTTTCCAAATAAATCACTGAAGAAAGACTAGAATTTTAATAGTGGACATAGTTCTATTGGCTTTGAGTCCCAGGGGGATTATCATAGGATGATTGCCTAATACTAACGCATGTGCCTGCACACTTCTAGTGTTTACTTATCCAGTTAGCTTTGGGTGTAGTGCTCCTAGTCTCACCGTTTCATTTAATAATGGCATAGAGTCACAAGAAGCAAGCTTTATTGTAATTTCATGAGAAGAAGAGGCAGGTAAAACAAAGAAATAAGTCCAAAGAGTATTTGGGAAATTCTTTCACACAAAGGTGGATTAGCAGGTAGGATGGTCTTACACATGTGCAGTTACTCAAAAAGTAGTTTGGGAGTTTCTTCAATAACTTTTTATAGTACTATATGTATGATACATACATTACCACGTACAATAAATGAGTTTAGTTATTACTTATCTATAATTACAGTATTTTCCAGACTATAAGCTGTTACTTTTTTCCTAACACTTTCAACAGTGTGGCCTATAACAAGGTGCAGCTTTTCTGTGGATTTTTCCTGACCTCATGAGGGGGAAGTCACAGTTGTAAATAAAAGAATAACGAGATAATTTTTATTTAGCACAATAACATGCTAGCAGTGAATAGATTGGGCTTAACTCCTGCAGAGCTGGAAATAAGAGCTGATGAAGCCCCATCTTTTAGTAGAAGCTCCTGTCACAACCCGATCCGTCCCAGAAGAACGATCCATCCTGTGCATGCGCGAACAGATATACATCCGGGTGTCCATAAATAATGTAATTATGGTACTAAAATTACTTATTTCTATCCTTAACTTTCTAATGAATGCTAATACATATCTTTAAAAAACGTTTTATGACTTTTGTGAGACAGTTATGCTTTATACATTTTCTTCGTTAAACTGCTTTTCTGACGTCATCATGGGACATGCTCAGAGCAGTCCGGCAAAATATGATTAAGCCATGTTAATCTGCATTTAGTTGTTAGAGCCATATAGAAATTATGTTTATCTCTACATTATATCTAATTAGAATTGAGTTATTGAAATATACTTTATATTTTATTAAGCATTTGGTTATATTTTGTGGTTGTATCACTTAATTAGGCTCCTTTTAATGTCCTGTGTTTAGTTAAGGTTGCATGCACAGTTTTGCTTCAGGGGTGTGCATGGCAGCGCTTTGGAAGTTTTAATAGAGCAGGAGGAGGAGCAACAGTTTTCTGACCGTTAAGGTTATTTGTAAGTTCAACTTTCACTACGGATTTAGTAGATTAGACGGAAAATCTTTTTCTTGTTTTTTGTAAACACTGAGTTTCGTTATAAAGATAATTTTTTGTTATCGCTTCGCTTCAGTTCTTAACAAAGGTTCACAAGTCAGAAACTTCATGTCCTGCAAGAGTGGCGAAGTAAATTTTTATTGTCAGGAAAGAAATTTAGCCAATACATTAGTTGTTTCTTTCTTTAGATTATGCTCTCTATACCATGAAAGGAAAACATAAAACTCAAAAAGACTAGATTTGTGTTTAAAGCCAAAGCTGAAAAAGTTAGCTCCCAGAAGTAACACAGGATCCCATTTCCGATGCAGATCGGGAACAGACGAGTGATCAAACAGAAAGGATTTTAAGGCATTTATTTTCTCAGGAAATGCATTATTAACCTTTAACACTATATACTTTAGTACGCTTACTATTTTTTGGGAGGTAAAAACGTCATTTAGTTCTTTTTAACAAAATAAAATCAAGGCCGACTCGGATGTATATCTGGATGCACATGCGCAAATGAACTGATGGCGCATGCGCAGGACGGACGGGACGGGTAGTGACAGGATTTACCGCAATGAGCCAATAAGCTAATGGGAGCTGCCTTTCTTCTGCATCCCTACGCTAGAGGCTATATGTAGACCCCCCCTACAGATTTATTGGCAGACAGTTCAGTTGATATCACCGGCTTATAGCCTGGTGCCGCCTATAGATGTACTTTTCGATTTTTTTAAAAAAATGTAGTCAGCGTGGCTTATATTCAGGAAAATACACTACACAAACAGAAGCTCATACCTTGCTTTGCCTTCTTCTTTGCCTTCTAAACAATGCTGTTATTTTATGGTTTATACCCTAACAATTAAAACTGCAATCTTGGCAGGTCTTTTTACTTAAGAGTATCACTGCTGCCACCCTATGTCTTGGAGTGGAGCTGCCTTTTTCGGAGGTGATGATTACATAGACATGGGACCAACATATCACTCATGCCCACCCTTGACCACCCATCTAGCTACGCCCTTCACAATATCCAAGTGATGGAGCTTAAATTTCTAAATCATTATGCAGTGTTGGCAACATTGTGCTACGGGGATGCTTTTGTTGAGAGGGAACACTATATTGGACTATGGATGGAGATAAACACAGGGCCATGCTGGAAGAAGAATATGTTGGAGGCTGCCAAAGATTTGAAATTGAACAGAGGATCCATTTTCTGAGAGGATAATAGGCCTAAACATACAGCCAGCACCCCAATGGAATGGTTTAAATCATAGCATAACCATTGTCTTGAGAGGCTCAGTCAAAAAAATGGTCTAAATGACCTTTTGTTCCACCAAAGTCAAAACTGTTGTTTTTTCTTTCCAGATGGTTCACAGTGGTGTCCATTTTCTATAAACTCCCACTCATGGTTTTGCTTTGTCATTCCATGTAATATTGTGATCTTCTGGTCAAAAGATCTCATTAATCTCCCCACCCACAGATTTTCTTTACCCACTTGGCTCAGTTTCCCCCCAAACTAAACTTTGTTTCCTACAGCTAAAATCTAGACACATGGTTAAAGTGATGCGTGGCCTTTTCAGAATAATCAAATATGAAGGATCGAACAGCTTTTTTAGTAATAGCCACACTCTATAAATCATGAACATATTGTTGGACCCAAGGATTTGCTTGAATCTGAGAAGTGTGTGCAGATTGGTGCGAAACTGTCCCAGGAGGAGCCTTTCAGCACCGTAACACATGGCTCACATTATCACAGAGGTCCAAGAACTGCAGAAACACTAGTCAGGGTTCATGTTGGGATGTTTTTTTCTTTTCCTTCCATCTTTATAGTAGGAAAATTGAAATAAATCATTAAAGGAATCACTGATTATTTGAGGCAGATGATCCGCTGTGAACTGCATTTGTTGAGTTCGGCGTGATGTTAAAATGTCAAAAGGGATTATACTGAGCACCCTCCTCTTATGTGTTGTTGTTTTTTTTTTTATTCAGGCACTGCTGAAGGACCCCCTTTACATCGGCTTGAGGCATAAGAGAATCCGAGGCCAGGCCTACGACGACCTGATAGATGAATTCATGAAAGCCGTTTCAGACCGGTAGGACGATCACACCGACTCATCATTTGCCCATTTCCTTCTCCTGTCTGCTATCATCATTTCAGGGCGGTAATCACAGTGGGGCCTTAAAAGAAAAATGTTAAGCAGTTTAGCAGACACCAATCATGCAAACTGTCCAGATGCTGTGGGATTCAGAGTTTACCTCAACACTAACTCTGTTTTACCTCCTTTTCAAGAAGTTTGACATTTTGGTTGCCATGAGATTTTATTGCTCTTTGCAGCTCAGATTTAACTTATTCTGTTTAACGTTAACATTACTATAGAATTGATTGTTTTTAATAAAACAATGGGTGGTGCAGCTAGCATTCCTTTGCCTTTCCTAACAGACCGACTTACACCCCTTGTTTTCAGACTAGTTAGGTTCAGACTCAGCCTAAAACTTAACAGACCAATTGCCATGCAGGAGGTGGAAATTCGCCTGTAGTGTAAGTTACCCATAATGCAACAGTGATTTTCTGCAACCATAACAGTCATGATGGCGATGTTTTAATGAGGCCCTTTATAATGTTCTAAATGAGCTGATATATCTTTAAAACCTCGACAATTTGATGCACTTTTTCTCTAAAAATCAAAGTATTTTTTGTCCGTTTAGTTTCTCCTGTGTCCTGGCTTTGTGATCCACGCTGTTCCCTTTTTAGAGTGATCCGCTGTATGTACAGATCAACTCAGTACAGTTTGCCTGGCTGGCATTCCTACCTGGGTATATCCTTTAGAGCAGGGGTCTGCAACCTAGGGAGTGTATGTATGGAGAGAGTTTTCTTCCATTATTGTTGGAAGGAAACAACATGTTTGTAAATGGAAATCTAGAATAAAAGCTTTTAATAAAATTTTCTATTTTTTTTTTATCCTTTTATTTTCATATATTCTTTTTTTTTCAAATTCCCCTTTCTGAACTTAATTTTTTTTTTTACAGATTTTCTATTTTTAAATTTTAAGTTTTTTCTCATTTCTCTTCTCAGATTGAGGCTTAAGTGAAGAGAATGCAATCTGTAAAACACAATTTGAAAAAAAACTATTTCAAAACTCAAAAGAGAAAATGGAAAAATTTTATTTTGATTATAACTTTAAGAAAATCTGAAAAATAAAACGTAACTTTGCATAAAGGATTTATCTCCAAGGTAGCAGTACTGTTTTTTTAAGATCAAATTTTCTTTCCATTAGATTTTACGCAAAATTATTTTTTTTTTCATCCTATTTTTTGCAAAAGAAAAAGAAAGTTTTACCTTTTTTGATTAACATGTTGGTTTTTTGAAAATGGAAAAACAAAAAAATATATGTAGAAAGAAATGTATATATATATATATATATATATATATATACAGGTGCTGGTCATAAAATTAGAATATCATGAAAAAGTAGATTGATTTCAGTAATTCCATTTAAAAAGTGAAACTTGTATATTATATTCATACATTACATACAAACTCATATATTTCAGATGTTTATTTTGTTTAATTTTGATGATTACAAATGACAACAAATGAAAATCTCAAATTCATCATATCAGAAAATTAGAATATTGTGAAAAGGTTCAAAATTGATGGCCCCTGGTGCCACACTCTAATCAGCTAATTAACTCAAACCACCTGCAAAAGCCTTTAAATGGTCTTTCAGTCTAGTTCTATAGGCTACACAATCATGGGGAAGACTGCTGACTTGACAGTTGTCCAAAAGACGACCATCGACACCTTGCACAAGGAGGGCAAGACACAAAAGGTCATCGCTAAAGAGGCTGGCTGTTCACAGAGCTCAGTGTCCAAGCACATTAATAGAGAGGCGAAGGGAAGGAAAAGATGTGGTCGAAAAAAGTGTACAAGCAAGAGAGATAACCGCACCCTGGAGAGGATTGTGAAACAAAACCCCTTCAAAAATGTGGGGGAGATTCACAAAGAGTGGACTGCAGCTGGAGTGAGTGCTTCAAGAACCACCACACACAGACGTATGAAAGACATGGGTTTCTGCTGTCGCATTCCTTGTGTCAAGCCACTCTTGAACCACAGACAGCGTCAGAAGCGTCTTGCCTGGGCTAAAGAGAAACAGGACTGGACTGCTGGTGAGTGGTCCAAAGTCATGTTCTCTGATGAAAGTAAATTTTGCATTTCCTTTGGAAATCAAGGTCCCAGAGTCTGGAGGAAAAGAAGAGAGGCACTTCATCCACGTTGCTTGAAGTCCAGTGTAAAGTTTCCACAGTCAGTGATGGTTTGGGGTGCCATGTCATCTGCTGGTGTTGGTCCATTGAGTTTTCTGAGGTCCAGGGTCAACGCAGCCACATACCAGGAAGTTTTAGAGCACTTCATGCTTCCTGCAGCTGACCAACTTTTTGGAGATGCAGATTTCATTTTCCAACAGGACTTGGCACCTGCACACAGTGCCAAAGCTACCAGTACCTGGTTGAAGGACCATGGTATCCCTGTTCTTAATTGGCCAGCAAACTCTCCTGACCTTAACCCCATAGAAAATCTATGGGGTATTGTGAAGAAGAAGATGCAATACACCAGACCCAACAATTCAGAAGAGCTAAAAGCCACTATTAGAGCAACCTGGGCTATCATAACACCTGAGCAGTGCCACAGACTGATCGACTCCATGCCACGCCGCATTGCTGCAGTAATACAGGCCAAAGGAGGCCCAACTAAATACTGAGTGCTGTACATGCTCATACTTTTCATGTTCATACTTTTCAGTTGGCCAACATTTCTATAAATCCTTTGTTTTTATTGGTCTTCGGTAATATTCTAATTTTCTGATATGATGAATTTGAGATTTTCATTTGTTGTCATTTGTAATCATCAAAATTAAACAAAATAAACATCTGAAATATATGAGTTTGTATGTAATGTATGAATATAATATACAAGTTTCACTTTTTAAATGGAATTACTGAAATCAATCTATTTTTTCATGATATTCTAATTTTATGACCAGCACCTGTATATATATATATATATATATATATATATATATATATATATATATATACATATATATATATATATATATATAGAGAGAGAGAGAGAGAGAGAGAGAGAGAGAGAGAGAGAGAGAGAGAGAGAGAGAGAGAGAGAGAGAGAGAGAGAGAGAGAGATTTTTTTTTTGTTGCTATTCATAAAATAGCTGTCATCTTCTAGAAATGTAAATCACATGTGCTGCTCTATAGAAGTTTATTTACCTAGACTAAGGGCAAGAGATGTTTTTTGCTGCCTGGTAAGTTTTAGTTTTAAAATTAGCCTTTTGGCAAAAATGCCTCATTTTCCGTGGCATCTGACCACCAACCCTGTCTTTAACATGTTGAGGGGCCAAATAAACACATGATGTGGTGAAGCTTTGTTTACGCTTCAGCTTTGGACTAACAGATTAGATTAACAATAGGCAGAAATGCCATTGGTTTTGTTTGTCCAACAAATCATAATTAACATTTTCGTTTCGTCTTCGCCTTGATAACGAAAACTCCTGCCTCTCCTCATTTTTTTTTTTGTCATCTAAGAGCAATGTTTATTTTGTCATCATCTCGTTATCATTGGGAAAACCAGCTTCATCAATTAAATGTTTTCATCATCATCATAGCTGACGAGAACAACTCTAAGGGCAAAAATGGACTCCTGGATTGTAAATACTTTACAGCACTGGTCCTTCTGTCTGGCATGTTACTTTAAAGACAAATGTTATAACTGCCAGCCTGAAAAACATTGACAACGAAAACCAACCAGTCCTGGGTTTAAACAGTACCCTGACGAGAACCTATTATTGTGCCAGGCTGTGAGCTCTGGTCCGTTTCACAGTCAGGGATGGGTTCCCATCGGCATGAAATGCTTTAGAAACTCTGGCTAGCTTAAGAAGGTTTTTGTTGGAAAAATGTTACTCCCAGGCAAAGAAGATCTATTTTATCATTCCATACCAATGCATCAAACTTTGCTCTATTAGTGATTATTTTTCTTTAATAAGACAGCACCAACCTCTATTAACAAAAGTTAGGATTAGGTCTAGATCAGGCTTGACCAAAGTCAGTCCTCAAAAGCGACTGTTCTGCAGGTCTTAGAGGTTTCCCTGCTTCAGCACAGCTGATTTCCATTGATAGCTGATTAAAAGGACTTTGCTGAAGTGCAATAATCAGAATCAGCTGTGCCGAAGCAGTGAAATCTCTAAAACCATCAGGACGGCGGCCCTCGAGGGCCGACTGAGCAGGCCTGGCTAGATGCTTATTTGTTTTTACTCCCATCTGTTTCTTTTCTTTTTGAGCTAAATGTATTTAAGACATAATGTCTCCTGATCTGATTGCTCTCTTCTCTGCGTTTCTTGCAGTCATGTTTTTGATTAGAACTTCTGTATACTCTTGCTTACCATGCGTGCCATCATGTCTGTGCCTGTTTGTCAGGAAGCCACGCATACCCGCACGCACAAACAGTGATACACATTAGCCCTGTTAAGCCTCATCCCAACCAAAAGAGACTGTAGTGCAGAGAAGAAGTCTGGGTCTGGGTCTCCTCCAGCTGGCAACAGGAAGCCACGACTTTAATAACCGGGTAGCTTCCCAAATGCAGCGAACAGAGATGCCTCGTTTTTTTTTCTCCCCACCGGAGCCAGATTGGCGGAAAATGAATAATTATGGGCTCAGGGTTTCAATGAATGATTAAAGCTCCAAAGTAATATTCATGTTTGGTTTTCTAAGAACTAAATGAGCTAAAATACTCCACACTGAGTCATCATCAATAACCTCAAGACTGGAATAAAATTTGTTTGAGTCCTTCAGTCAAAACATCCCCCTTTTCAGGATGAATGGTTTCTGATGCAGTTTCTTATTTCATTTAAGGCCTTCCAGTAAGATGACTACACAGACTCCCAGTATAGAGAAAACTTAGCCTTTCTGAAGTTCTGAAACTTTTCTCCTACTGTTTGATCCATCCCTTAAACAAATATCCCATGTATGTCAAAATCACACATAACACATGTTCCGCATGTGAAATTAACAAATGGTGTCAAAT